CAGGACAGGGTTGGTCCATATCCAGGGCAATCTTACGGCTCAACGATACATCAACGAAATTCTCCCACCACACGTCATCCCAATTGCAGCCAACGGCAACGGGGTGCATTCCAGCATGAGAACGCTCGACCGCATATAGCACGGATCACAAGAGCCTGTCTACACAACAACAACGTTGATGTTCTCTTCTGGCCCTCCAGACCTCCGGAATTGAACCTGACAGAGCACCTGTGGGATGAATTGGATAGATAGCTACGGCGGCGTCAACCACAACCCCAGACGCTGCAGCAGTTGGCTGAGACGGCTACCTTTCCCCTGGATGTGATTCACATACTTGTGTCTTCCATGGGCAGATGACAGGCCGCTATCGATTCCAACGGGGGACATAAGCGTTATTGATGGTAGCTGACCTTCACCTTAGACTTTACCTATGTACCGATAACTGAGAGGACTACAATCACCAAGTGTTCTCTCCACAACATTTTGACTCAATACCTTCCTCGTATATATATACTTTCCTACCTCACACAAATCTGGCTTTGCGTTTCTTGTTTTGAAGAGTATATAAATACATGACGGCGATAATGGATAATGAATTTTATGGATAAACACTTCATTTATTATTTGAAACGACGTTTCAGAGCTACTTCGTTCCCCCTCACTCACAAGATGTACTCATGTTCTTCCAACTAAACTTCTGTTGAATATATATGTCCATTGGTGACACATCATCTTACATAATTACCTACATGCCCTTTTTTCATTGCTTACCACTTTCTCAATGAATTTGAAGCCCAGGGAATATGATTAAGATGAATACAATTTAAAAGTTGAATGTTGAAGTTGAAAGTTAAAGAGTGTGTGGACTAACTTTAATCTGATGATCATATAAACACGGCTGCATATCTGTTGTTCGAGATAGTGAGTGAGTGAATTGGGCCTAACGCCGCTTTTAACAGTATTACTGTTATATCGCGGCGTGTCAGCTTAATGCGTAGTGATGCGGGTCTCAGACGTTTACCACTTCGGTGAAACCCACGAGCACGGGTATGACAAACCTAGAAACAATCGGGGCGAACGGGGATTCGAACCCACAATCATAGGTTTCTGGCATGCCCAAGGGACGCAACTCTGTACAGAGAATCGCGGCGCCTTAGACGACTGGGCCACCCATGCCCCCTGTTCGAAATAGAAATTAACTGTATTGCAACTATGAGATGAAATATTAAAGATGTTAAGAAGAGAAAACTAAAATCTCTTGATAAAAACACCCATTATTTGTTTATTTCAGATAGAGACCTGTCCTATAACGAAACATGCGTGATGAAGATGTCATCGGCGCATCGCAGACAGCGGTTCACGGCTAAAGAACTGCGCCAATGCAAAAAGAATGTATAGATGGAGTTTGTGAGACCGGGTTGCAAAATGCAACAGTTACTGATACTCAACCTGTACCAATAGATTCATTTATGATAATTAAAGATGTTCCTGCTTGAATGAATGTTATTGATGTTATATCACATCATATTCTTACATTGTAGGAGACCCGTGAAGATTCCGGGGTCGAATAGGTCTTCAGCAACCCATACTTGCCGTAAAAGGCGACTATGCTTGTCGTAAAAGGCGACTAAAGGGATCGGGTGGTCAGGCTCGCTGACGTGGTTGATACATGTCATCGATCCCAATTGCGTGGATCGATGCTCATGCTGTCAATCACTGGATTGTCTTGTCCAGACTCGGTTATTTACAGACCGCCGTCATATAGTTCGAACATTGCTGAGTGCGTTAAACAACAAACCAACCAACCAACCAATCAACAAACCAACATTGTAGGAAGAGAAGTGATAAATCAGTTTTAATCCAGATGTGTAAGAAACTTGTTAATCTCACCATGATATACTCTGCAAAAAAAACAACACAAAAGTGATTTTAGGTGTATATTTTATATATATAAATAATCAACAGATGGTAATAGATTGCACAAGATTAGCACAAATCATTGTCATTGGCCAAGGTCCAATATGGAATACATGACCAGTAGATTTTTAAGGTGAAGGTCATCTGTTCTCAATGTCATGTATGGCTACTGTCTGGCATCGTTGTCCCATGGTAGCAATCAGACCCCGAATTGTGGCCTAGGGAATGTTCACACAATCTGCCTGCAGTGCTTGTGCCAACTGTCGGAGGTTCTGTGGATGTTGCTGGCGTGCTCGTATTCGTTGTGCCAGTGCATGTTATAAATGTTCGATTGAGTTTAAATCTGGAACCCTAGAGGTCCATGGCATGACCTAGGTGTTGTGATACCTGAAAAAGGCTGTTGTCAGTCTTGCCGTGTAAGGTCGAGCGTTGTCTTGTTGGAAAATGACATTCGATTGTTGCATAATGGGAAGGACATGTGGCCGAAGAATCTCATCCGCCCCAGAACTTGCACTAAGTCTGTTCTACCAGTCTTGGAGATGGCTGCCCACATCATTACACTACCACCTCCAAATCTGCCCACTACTTGTATGCAGTTTCGTGCATAACGTTCCCCGCGACGCCTGTAAGCACGACGTCTACCATCCGCAAGCTGAAGTATAAAACGTGACTCGTCACTAAACCAAACTTCTTCGCAATTGTGGCCATACGCTGTGACTATGACACCATTAACATTGCTGCAGACGATGTAGATCCGTCAAAATGACACCTCGAACTGGTCGTCTAGCGCGAATACCTTCAGCACGTAAAAGTTTCCCCACTGTCTGCGCTGATATTCTGCGGATTCCTGGTATTGCCGTAGTTGAAGAGGAGGCCGTGTGTGTATGATAACGGTTCCACATTTTTTTAATAGTGCTTGGTGCTACGTGGAAAAGGAGAAGGTTTTCAAAGCCCAACAGGTGATGTTGCACGTGCATGTCATTGTGGTGTGTTTCGGCGCCAGGCTCTCACGTGGTTGTGTTTTTTGTGATTTTTCCATCTTTTCACCAAATTTCCGCAGTACCTCATTCTTTCCACGCAAAGCAATCCCAATCCATGCAGTAATGCATTGGTATTAATTCAAACAATTCATATCCTAACAAGAGTGAGTGAATGATTTTGTTTAACGAAGTTTGGAACAGTAGCTCTGGTATATCACGGCATGTTAGATTAACGTGGGACGATAGTCCGAAGGGATGCAGTCCCAAGACAAACGCTACAATCAGTACACTTCGTGAGTGAGTGAGTTAGATTTAACGCCGCTATTAACAGTATTCCAGTTATATCGCGGCGTGTCAGCTTAATGTGGGAGGAAAGCCCGAAGTGATGCAGGTCTTAGACGTTTACCACTTCGGTGAAACCTACGAGCACGGGTATGGTGCTGAAAAAAAAGAAACATAATCGGGGCGAACCGGGATTCGATCCCACAATCATCGATTTCTGGCGTGCCCAAGGGACGCAACTCTGCACAGCGAATCGCGACGCCTTAGACGACTGGGCCACCCGTGCCCCCCAGGACACCTAAAATCGTGAACATAAAGGTGAAAGTGATCAAATAACAGCACGATCATTGATGTATGGAGCATTTCTTCCGGCGCACAGATACATGTGAATCCCATATTCATGTTCAGATCGGTCTCCTCCGTGGTCTAATGGAAGGACTGGAGTTTGAAAAGACGTAAAAGGATGGTACTTGTTGTTACCCTGCCTGGCGCTCGGCACTTAAGGGGCTAAAACAAGGACTGGTCGACTCGGAGTCAGTATACTGTGTCTAGGTTGGGTATTCGCGGCAATGTATCTCAGTGAACTAGCACTATAAAATCAGCATCAGCTCGGACTAGTGCTAGCACACACACACACACACACACACACACACACACACACACACACACACACTAACACTAACACTAACACTAACACACACACACATTAAACCTCATCTCATCTCACCTCATGTTCAGATCAGAGAGTTGGTTATAGTGAGTCAGTAAATAAATAGTACTTTAGCGATAGGTCAGACATTAACCACTTCCGTGAAACCCACGAGCACGGGTATAATCTGACCTGGAGGCATAATAACACGGATTCGAACATATGTTCCTAGGTAACTCTACATCAATATGTACCAAGAAACGAAAACGGTTTTCAAAGAACAGGATACATCTGGGAAACACATACTTAGCACTTTATTGTTAATGAAGGAAAATATAACTTGGTCTAAATACACGAGCGCTGCCTATAGCTTAAAATTGATGTTGGGACGTCAAAGGCTAAATCGGGACTTGTCCACAGAGAGACGAGAATAACAAAGCAGATCTTTGTGCACCTTTAAAAGTTTATTTATACTTGTAGTCCATCGTGTGCACATTACACTTATTTTAGTAATAGACAGTGAGTTGATTTTGACAACATTCCAGCCAAATCACGGCGTTTATAGCAATTACTCTGAAACACTTCTTGGCCAGAAACCTTTCAAAATGTTGAAAGGTTGAATGTTAGAAAACATGTAGCTACCTCAAAGTGTTACTCGTGAAGATCCGGGTTAGAATTGGTCTTCAGCGACCATCAGTGATGACAATTACTGGATTGGCTGGTCCAGATTATGTTCAGCAAATGGCTGGAATTTTGGCGGGCTTTCAATAACGCCGTTTTAAGACCGAGTACATAAGATAATTTTACATTTTACATGACAGTATCACAGATTACAAAGTTTTCACAAACAAATAAGGATATCAACAAACAAACACATATACTGATACATAGAAGTAGGAACAAACAAATCATTAAAAATTAAGAGTGAATGAGTGAGTATGGTTTTACGCCGCTTTCAGCAATATTCCAGCAATATCACGGCGGGGGACACCAGAAATGGCCTTCACACATTGTACCCATGTCGGGAATCGAACCCGGGTCTTCGCCGTGACGAGCGAACGCTTTAACCATTAGGCTACCCGACCGTCCCTAAAAATTAAGAGAATAGGGTATCATTTAACATTTGAAGCAATGCTTACTTTTTATGCAAATAGTGCGAGTGGCGGGTGCTACCGGTAGAGCAGGACATGCTTACCCTTTTCGCCAAAACCTGGTGTCATGACTGATTTTCAGTGATCAATTAATATAATTTTCACAACTGTTTTGCCTTTTACGCTCAGTTGAATTGTTTCGGCAAATAATCGAGACGTTGACAATATATATTAAAAAGTGTTTCGCTTACTGGTATAATATATGTTTTGGGCCTTTTAGATTTAACCTTTGGGACGAGATATCTTTGACCTGGTGGTAGAACAATGCAACAAGATTATGAAGCATGGAAAGGATTATTTAAGCTTCGTAAAACACAACTCGCTCACTCCGACGACATTTTTCTATACTAGGGTGATCTCAGAAAACAAAAAAATATATAAATTTGCCAATACCATCAATACCCCGAAGCTTGTATACTATCCACATCATAGAATGTGACTTAAAAATCATGACAAAGAGGATTCATCGTTTCGCTACCTAGTCGAACACAAAGTGGATAGTGTCACATCTTACATCCGACCACAAAAGGTACACAGGTATCCAGTCACGGGTACTCGGGTATCCAATCATAGGTACACGGGTATCCAATCACGGGTACACTGGTGTCCAATCACAGGTACACGGGTATCCAGTCACGGGTACACGGGTATCCAGTCACGGGTACACGGGTGTCCAGTCACGGGTACTCGGGCATCCAGTCACGGGTACACGGGTATCCAATCGCAGGTACACGGGTATCCAATCACAGGTACACGGATATCCAGTCACGGGTACACGGGTGTCCAGTCACGGGTACACGGGTACTCGGGCATCCAGTCACGGGTACTCGGGCATCCAGTCACGGGTACTCGGGTATCCAATCACAGGTACACGGGTATCCAATCACAGGTACACGGGTATCCAGTCACGGGTACACGGGTATCCAGTCACGGGTACACGGGTGTCCAGTCACGGGTACACGGGTGTCCAGTCACGGGTACTCGGGCATCCAGTCACGGGTACTCGGGTATCCAGTCACGGGTACTCGGGCATCCAGTCACGGGTACTCGGGTATCCAATCACAGGTACACGGGTATCCAATCACAGGTACACGGGTGTCCAGTCACGGGTACACGGGTGTCCAGTCACGGGTACTCGGGCATCCAGTCACGGGTACTCGGGTATCCAATCACAGGTACACGGGTATCCAATCACAGGTACACGGGTATCCAGTCACGGGTACACGGGTGTCCAGTCACGGGTACACAGGTGTCCAGTCACGGGTACTCGGGCATCCAGTCACGGGTACTCGGGTATCCAATCACAGGTACACGGGTATCCAAACACAGGTAAACGGGTATCCAGTCACGGGTACACGGGTATCCAGTCACGGGTACACGGGTGTCCAGTCACGGGTACACGGGTGTCCAGTCACGGGTACTCGGGCATCCAGTCACGGGTACTCGGGTATCCAATCACAGGTACACGGGTATCCAATCACAGGTACACGGGTATCCAGTCACGGGTACTCTGGCATCCATTCACGGGTACACGGGTATCCAGTCACGGGTACTCGGGCATCCAGTCACGGGTACTCGAGTATCCAATCACAGGTACACGGGTATCCAATCACAGGTACACTGGTATCCAGTCACGGGTACACGGGTATCAAGTCACGGGTACTCGGGCATCCAGTCACGGGTACACGGGTATCCAGTCACAGGTACACGGGTATCCAGTCACAGGTACTCGGGCATCCAGTCACGGGTACACGGGTATCAAGTCACGGGTACTCGGGCATCCAATCACGGGTACACGGGCATCCAGTCACGGGCACACGGGTATCCAGTCACGGGTACTCGGGTATCCAGTCACGGGTACTCGGGTATCCAGTCACAGGTACACGGGTATCCAGGAGTCACTTGACGAGGTGGTGAGACCGGCCAGGAATGTGCTGAATGGGTACATGCCGCACGTGCTGACCCCATCACTGACCCTTAAGGTCACAAAGTAGCAGTCAGGGTCGCGACGACAGCTGGCCACACAGTGCATCCGGTTGACAACCGGAAATGACGTCACAGGATCTACTGCAGGAGCTTCATGGAACCTTTCTGTAAAGTACTCGCTGTCCAAGTCTGTAAAACAGTAAATCGTAAATCAGATTTCACTTGTTTGGTTTAAGCTGATGGCTTGTGTTTCAATAAAGGTGTAATACTTTGAGAATATCCTACCAGCTTGGTGGAATTAGAGTTAGAGATTATCTGCCCCGAATGAACTAACTTTGTCCCGAATCTTGTCACAGGGACAGATAATGAGTAATTCCGAGTTGCGGGCATTTCTATATTTTAATAATATCCTATTTTCTGGGCAAATGTAGAAAAATGTGTGTTTCTCGATCACATGTGGAACCATCAACTCATTCACATTGTCACATGTCACGTTATTTTTGGGAGGGAAGTGTCCAGTGAGTTGTTCCCCATAGATGTAGCTGGGCAACGCAGATGAACGCATTCATCATTTAGAGAGATATCATGACAATATGTTTGGGGAGATACGATACAGATAATCGATGTGAAAATTGTGAGAATATTTAGTCCGCGATACAGAGGGTAGTTGTATGAAATTGTGTACACAACCTTTGAAGTATGAGAGAGTGATATACAAAAAATAAAAAAGAATTGACATGCAATGAAAGCCTAAATACCAAATCTGCCTTTGCTTCTAAAGTCAACATGGTTATTTTCTAAATATAACACCGCCGCGGGCATTTACAAACAATTGTTATTCATTATGGTGAATAAATTGTGACTGCCAATTTGATATAAGTATTGGTACAAACCATACCATCAAAGCAAAAGGGGACAGTGGTGGCCCAGTTGTCTGACGCCTCGCGATTCGCTGTGCAGAGTTGTGTCCCTTGGGCACGCCAGAAACCTATGATTGTGGGTTCAAATCCCGGTTCGCCCGATAATGTTTCTAGGTTTGTCAGCACCATACCCGTGCTCGTGGGTTTCACCGAAGTAGTAAACGTCTGAGATCCGCATCACTTCGGGCTTTCCTCCCACATTAAGCTACCACGCCGCGATATAACTGGAATACTGTTCAAAGCGGCGTTAAACCCAACTCACTCACTCACTCAAAGCAAAAGCTCTATTACTAATAGTCATACATTCCCACTGATGTGTCGTATTTTTGCATATCACAATGACTTGGGACGAGTCTACTTGCAGGTTACGGAAAGCAGCGAGAGGTAAAGAATGTACACGAAACGTCTTAATGTTATATCACACAATATCACCTCTGCTGCAGATGTAGTTGTGCGGTCTCGTGCATTCTCGGGTGTACCAGAGGTAGCCGTCGTCGTTGTTGGTGGCGACGCACTGCTGGTTCGTATCCATTTTGTTCGGCTCGCCCCTGATCCACCGTGACCAGGTCAACACAGAGTTGTCTGCCCACCAGAAGGTCCCGGATGTATATTTGAGTCCGATCCAGTACTCGACCCCGGCTCTTGCAACAAGAAGGACAGAGATGAGTTACACTGCGTAGTGACATCATTGTGTTACACTGCGCAGTGACATCATTGTGTTACACTGCGCAGTGACATCATTGTGTTACACTGCGCAGTGACATCATTGTGTTACACTGCGCAGTGACAGAGTGCTATTAGGCAGTCAAATGAAAATTGGCCAAACGTTTCACAGCGTTGTCGTACTTTTGAAATGTACAATTTCTAGTGGGCATAAATGACCTGTATCAAAATGGTCCATTGAAAAATAACTTGAAAATTTTGAAAAAACAACATCTGTAGCTCATAGTGCCGTTTTAATAAGATACAGGACCATATACTAGGGCAGCGGGTGGTTTGACTTACTCGGCCGGCACAACAGCCTTCATCGACGTCAACGACGTTTCCGAATCTACGACAGCCAAGGTCATACCAAGGTCGTTACATCTCGTCACAGCAGTCATGTGATCAACCTCTTCTTTGACTCCACGAAAAGCCCTTGTAGCATCTGGAGAGAGAAAAGAAGTGTGTATATTTGTTTGTGTGTGTGCGTGCGTGTGTGCGTGCGTGTGTGCGTGCGTGCGTGCGTGCGTGAGTGCGTGCGTGCGTGCGTGCGTGCGTGCGTGATATAACTTTACAACCGAAACAAATACAGTCATTCAAACAGTCGAAGCAAAATGTGTCATTTTACTTTTGGAACACACCGAATATAAACTTATAATTTCATTGAATAGATCGATTGTTAATAATAAGAAAGCCTTAACCTGAGGAGTGAGTGAGTGAGTTGGGATTAACGCCGCTTTTAATAGTGTTCCATTTATATCGCGGCGTGTCAGCTTAAGGTGGGAGGAAAGCCCGAAGTGATGCAGGTCTCAGACGTTTACCACTTTGGTGAAACCCACGAGCACGGGTATGGTGCTGACAAACCTAGAAACAAAATCGGGGCGAACCGGGATTCGAACCCACAATCATAGGCTTCTGGCGTGCCCAAGAGACGCAACTCTGTACAGCGAATCGCGGCGCCTCAGACGACTGGGCCACCCGTGCCGCCTAACCTGAGGAGAGTAGATGAGGCGAGGCGAAGTGAGATGAAATGGGATTTTACGTCACGCTAAGATTATTTCACTCATCGCAATGTGCATACACGTGTGTGTGTGTGTGATACATTCAGTCGCTGCGCTGAGTAACTCTGGACTCAGCCCAAGAACATCACAATGGCGCTCACGCCTTCCACTTCTCGGTTTAAAGGCTGTTTAACACACTTCCACGTTATAAGTTGTCATCAACCGATCTCCAGGGGTATATGGTGTGATGTACCCTGTGTGTGAACCTATGTACCCCAAGCCGATGGTATGTCACACCATATGCCCCGAGGTGGCGGTTGACAACGAATTTATCCTACCGACATTCATTCATAAAATATATATGTCCTCAATATTCAATATATGTCCTCAGTTTTAGCGAATTAGCAAAACTCGTTACAGACGACGCATACGAACCGAGCTACTTCCCTTTACCAGTTGTGATATGGCAATGTATTTTATTGCTTAATAATTATTGCAACTGTGTTACTCTTTTCTTCTCCATCCCACCTTCTCCATCCCACCTTCTCCATCCGAACCTCCATCCCACCTTCTCCATCCCACCTCCTCCATCCCACCTCCTCCATCCCACCTTCTCCATCCGAACCTCCATCCCACCTTCTCCATCCCACCTTCTCCATCCGAACATCCATCCCACCTTCTCCATCCCACCTCCTCCATCCCACCTTCTCCATACGAACCTCCATCCCACCTTCTCCATCACACCTTCTCCATCCGAACATCCATCCCACCTTCTCCATCCCACCTCCTCCATCCCACCTCCTCCATCCCACCTTCTCCATACGAACATCCATCCCACCTTCTCCATCCCACCTTCTCCATCCCACCTCCTCCATCCCACCTCCTCCATCCCACCTTCTCCATCACACCTCCTCCATCACACCTCCTCCATCCCACCTTCTCCATCCCACCTCCTCCATCCCACCTCCTCCATCCCACCTCCTCCATCCCAACTCCTCCATCCCACCTTCTCCATCCCACCTCCTCCATCCCACCTTCTCCATCCCACCTCCTCCATCCCACCTTCTCCATCCCACCTCCTCCATCCCACCTTCTCCATCCCACCTTCTCCGTCCCACCTCCTCCACTCCACCTCCTCCACCCAACCTCCTCCATCCCACCTCCTCCATCCCACCTTCTCCATCCCACCTCCTCCATCCCACCTTCTCCATCCCACCTCCTCCATCCCACCTTCTCCATCCCACCTCCTCCATCCCACCTCCTCCATCCCACCTCCTCCATCACACCTCCTCCATCACACCTCCTCCATCCCACCTCCTCCATCCCACCTTCTCCATCCCACCTCCTCCATCCCACCTCCTCCATCCCACCTCCTCCATCCTTCCTCCTCCATCCCTCCTCCTCCATCCCTCCTCCATCCCTCCTCCTCCATCCCACCTCCTCCATCCCACCTTCTCCATCCCTCCTTCTCCATCCCACCTCCTCCATCCCTCCTCCTCCATCCCTCCTCCTCCATCCCACCTTCTCCATCCCACCTTCTCCATCCCTCCTCCATCCAACCTCCATCCCACCTCCTCCATCCCACCTCCTCCATCCCAACTCCTCCATCACACCTCCTCCACCACACCTTCTCCATCACACCTCCTCCATCACACCTTCTCCATCCCACCTCCTCCATCCCACCTCCTCCATCACACCTCCTCCATCCCACCTTCTCCATCCCACCTCCTCCATCCCACCTCCTCCATCCCACCTCCTCCATCCCACCTCCTCCATCCCACCTTCTCCATCCCACCTCCTCCATCCCACCTCCTCCATCCCACCTCCTCCATCCCACCTTCTCCATCCCACCTCCTCCATCCCACCTCCTCCATCCCACCTCCTCCATCCCACCTCCTCCATCCCACCTCCTCCATCCCACCTCCTCCATCCCACCTCCTCCATCCCACCTTCTCCATCCCACCTCCTCCATCCCACCTCCTCCTTCCCACCTTCTCCGTCCCATCTTCTCCATCCCTCCTTCTCCGTCCCTCCTTCTCCGTCCCACCTCCTCGACCCCACCTTCTCCTCGCTACCTTCTACGCCCTATCTCTTCAAGAGCACAACACACAAGTATAATAACAGAGCAATACCATAACATGATGTGCTACTTACTGCTTGTGGTAAGAGCTACAAAAAGACCGAACCAACTGATTGTTCCATGTCGTATCAGATTCATCCTTCCAGAGAAGTGGAGGTCGTGCAGACGGATCAAGCGATGAACGGCCCCACAGACAGTAGTCAGACGATGAACGGCCCCACAGACAGTGATCAGATGATGAATGGCCCCACAGACAGTAGTCAGACGGTGAACGATCCCACTAACACTAGTCAGACGATGAACGGCCTCACAGACAGTAGTCAGACGATGAACGACCCCTACAGACACTAGTCCGTCGATGAACTATCCCACTAGCAGTAGTCAGACGATGAACGTACCCACAGACAGTAGTACGTCGATGAACGTACCCACAGACAGTAGTCCGTCGATGAACGGCCCCAGCAGACAGGAGTCAGACGATGAACGATGTAGGAATTCTCGAATTATGCTTTGCCAGAGGCGTCAGTTGATGTTGATGCGTCTGACCTGGATCATACAGACTTAGCTCACCTGGCCCCGATATCTCAAAACAAACTTAAGGAGGGGGGGGGGGGGGGGGGGGGGGGGGGGGGTGATGCTCTTGGTGAGTGGACATTTTCAGGTTGATTGACACAAGTGATATGATGAATATAACCTTTTCCGCCCGAAACATTAATCTAAATAGTCCTTGACATGAAGTCTATTTGTCTTTAACAATCGGTAAGTCTCCATCCCCGCATCTTTCTGCAATCGCCATTTTCCTAAGAATAAAATTTTTAAGAAATGGTGTTATCTCATGTGCTATTGAACTCAGTTTTGTATATTTGAGGTTTGAGAAACGTTCGAATTTTGACTAAAGCTTTGGGACATCGCGGCCAGATTTCACCCTGGTGTCTTGTTTGTGTTATTATAGGCAAGGGGGGCACGGGTGGCCCAGTCGTCTAAGGCGCCGCGATTCGCTGTGCAGAGTTGCGTCCCTTGGGCACGCCAGAAACCTATGATTGTGGGTTCGAATCCCGGTTCGCCCCGATTATGTTTCTAGGTTTGTCAGCACCATACCCGTGCTCGTGGGTTTCACCGAAGTGGTAAACGTCTGAAACCTGCATCACTTCGGGCTTTCCTCCCACATTAAGCTGACACGCCGCGATATAACTGGAATAATGTTAAAATTGCGTTAAACTCACTCACTCACTCACTCACTCACACACTATTATAGGCAAGGGTAATTACATAATTAATATGTCCAGGATTATGCTGTGACATGGTAACTGCACGTTTTTTTTCAAGGGCTCCAATTGGTGGTATATTGTAACAGCTGGGCTCCACCTACCAAGAAATGTTAAACAGAGTTATGTTATTTCTATCTACAACAAGACCTGCTGTGGGAACAGGACGGATGACCACTTGCATGCAGACTGTGAATTAATTGTTGGAAGTTACCCTGATTGCTTGTTGGATTTCATTTGCTGATACTCACAATTATCAAAAAAGTAATAGTGCTATCTTTGCAATAAGCCAATCTGATAAACTTACTATCACGATCCGTTAAATATGAAAATGACGTTACGCAGCGAGAACTACTTGTCCGATGTTTTCTGGCTCAAATAAACTATTGCCTAACGTTCCAAAAAGGGTTGGATATATGTTTTCCGATGTGTGAGGGCTTATGTTAAAAAACACAGCTGCAAATCATTTGTCACTTTATAACAAATGGGGCGGTTCACTCAAGCACTGTATTCCTACGCTTCAGATAATATTGATTCCTTTGATTGCAAGCGACGAGTCATGAGGTATTCCGTGCCAAAATTGCTCCCAGTACTCATGTTTGTCGTAAAACCTTACTATAATTGGGATCGAGTGATCAGAATTTGCTACTTTGCTTGTGGTGTGCCATTTCTAGTTTTCAAACTAAATAAGGTGAGCTACATTCGGGTTTTAGGTTTCCAAGTGTGTCTCCAATACCGACTCTGCACATGCATATTTACGCCATCTGTACACGCTCTTACTGTGTAGGAAGTTGATTGGGGATTACTATCTTGTACTGTGTGAAACAGGTTTTAGAATTGTGTCCGCAAGCGCATTGTTATCATAGAATTCCGTTTGCACTTGGTGATTAGGGACCAGGGGTGTGGCGTCAAGCTCCGTGCTGCGAGATGTTGCTGTGGTAATCGTGAAAGTGGCGCTAATGTATTATTAAAACACGTTTCAAACAACAAAGCTTTGAAAAGCGTCACTCTTACAATCATTTGTTGTATTCCAATACGGAGGATACCTGAGAGGTTAGGTTATCAATGTTGCTAAATGTACGATTGATTTTGTGACATTCGGGCGTGTTGTTTTGTAGTGTTGTCTGCTCCCTGAATACCAAGTTTGTACAGTTTGTTTGTTTGTTTGTTTGTTTATCGACACACTCAGCAATATTTCAGATGTATTGACGGGGGTCTGTAAATAATCGAATACAGACCAGATAATCCAGTCATTGACATCAGGGACATCGATCCACGCAATTGGGATACGATGACATGCATCAACCAAGTCATCGAGCCTGACCATCCGATTCCGTTACTCGTCTCTTACGACAAGCATAGTCGCCTCTTAGGACAAGCAGTGTTGCCCACTGAAGACGGTCCCGGCGATGACGTGGTGTCAGAATGGGTCCTCGGTGTGGCCTGCGACAGTGGAGGAGTCTGCTCGTCAATCGTCGACTCACGGTGTCCGCACTAATGTATCGCTGGTGTGTCCCCATGGTCTGTCGAGCAGTTTCCGCAGCAGTAACAAAGCGATCTTGAAGATGATGTCGCTCAATCTGACGATCCTGACGTCGGGTGGTGACCCTTGGTCTTCCACTACGTGGTCGGTCATCTGTAGTGTTTGTGGTCTGGTACCGTTGCTGGAGCCTGTATATGGTCCTTACGTCGACTTGAAATGCATTGGCTACTTGCCGGGCGGTTTGTCCAGCTTGCAGTCGTCCAAGGGCTTGGTGTCGCTGATTTCTTGTCAATATTGGCATGTGGTAGCAATGCAATAACGAATGAATGTTATCCGATCTGGGTGGATTTTTATAGGGCAAGAAATGAGGGAACGCATGTGCATTTCAATTTGCACGGAACTCACGTGCATCGGGATGCCATGGCCGTTGCCGTGATGCGTTTGGGCGATCGGTTTTATTGCCATCTGCTTTGTTTTTTTATCATCAAGCTTCATTTTTCCGGACAAGGTAATGGTAAGTTTTAGAAACTTTAACAAAAATTACCCAGATATGTAAATGACAACTTTTCATGCAATGTTACCTGGGGTGGCGTTTCTTTTGCGGTTCAGTATATAATGAGGATCCGCAAAGGAGATGCTTTCAAGCTCCATCGATCAAATGTCTTCTTTCTCAATAACCTGTTGACTAACATTTCCAATACCTCATATAGATGTTTTACCAATGTGTCACCGCGTCTCTGTAGATTAAAATGGCTGCAAGTCATCTGGCACTATATAACAGACTGGGCGGTTTTCTCAAATACTGTATCTATACATTGTTTCTAAAGAGACTTCGAAATTATGTCTTAAGTATCCATTATCCAAGAATGACATTACATGACAAAGTGATTATTACGCTCGTATGTCAAGCGCAGATTTACATGAACACCCAAGTCAGACACTGTACACTAACTCCGACCAGTCCATGTTTATCCCCTCAGTGCCGAGCGCCACACAGGGTAACAACAAGTGCCATCTTTTAACGTTTTTGGTATGAGTGGATCGAACCACCGATCTCCCGATCCACGGGCAGACACTCTATCCATCGCACCACACAGGAAGTTGCATTGATAATATATATTAGATAGCAGCAATGATAAAGTCTTTTGGTTCTATGTTAAATGATGCATCTATATGCCACATGGAATCGATGCATGATAATGTTGCATTAAACTGTTACATTAAACTATTGCACATTGCTTTAAAAAGTTTTATGGTAGACATGTGGTGGACAAATTTGACGCATTAGTGACAAAAATGATGTCCGATGCAATTCCCCTATTTTGACTATATGTTCCAGTGCTTTTTCAGGTGAACAATTTACTTGACTTTGCATGTGTTTGTGACGGGTGCCACCGGTGGGGCAGGATACGCTCACCTTTTCGCGAACACCTGGTATCATTTATACTATTTGATAGTGATTCATAAACACATGATCATGATATACTCAGAATCTGCTTTATGCAGAGATTTCTATTGGATATGGAAATGGTTTTGTCGCTTCTATTTGTATAAGTTTGATTGTAGGGAAGGTTGAAACATCCGGAGATATTCTCGGGCTGAAGACTGGCGTGTCTATATTTGAACATCCCGGTAATAAGCACGTGCGTTCCGGAAACTCTCCTCCACAGAGAAAAGGGGAGTGTAGTTGAGCAAGGTGCGCGCTTTGACGTTGCTCAGTTTGATGGTGGTGTTGGCGAAGCGTAGGGCGCTGGAGGAGACGCCGATGTCGATTTTGATAACGGGGGACAGGAGAAACAGAAGACACTCTGCCAAGTACAATAGCACGAACATCATCCAGAAAGGGAACCTGATGGAGGATGGCCGTATACCCTTCTCCGCCAGAAAGGGGATCACCTGGCTGTATATGTCGCTAACTGGGGTGTCGTCCGTGATGAAGTAAGCCTCACCAGCAGCAGCAGGGTTGGTACGGACAGCCTTCTCGGCGCAGATGAAGGCCCAGGCGTTGTTTCCCACGTAGGCGTGCTGATGGAGTGCCTTGCCGTTACCTGTCTGGATGAGGATGCCCGCAGTCCTCTTCACCACCTTCATGAGCTGCGTGACGTAGTGGCGGTCCAGTTCGCCGTAGAAGACGTAGGGTCGAAGGGCGGCGGTCTTGAGTACGCCACCTACATCGACGGAAAGCAACTCATAGAAACTCATCGGTGCAGTGAAACACCATAAATTTAAACAATATCGTTTCCAGTCCAAACGTCAGGTTAAAAACACATTTCTGGATTAACGAGTGAGGACGGAGTTTGGATTTACGCCGCTTATGGTATTATTCCAGCAGTATCACGGCGGGGGACACCAGAAATGGGCTTCACACATAATACCCATGTGGAAAATTGAAACTGGGTTTTCGGCGTGACGAGCGAACGCTTTAACCACAAGGCTACCCAACCTCCCCTCTGGATGAACGGACCTTACGTTTTAGTATTGCATTAGTAGACTGGTGGTGGGATCAGTGAAAAGAGCTTAATGTGTGCATTTACATTGTTCCGAAGATAGGCCTGTAAAGTGTCCCCCAAAAGAAAAGAAAATAATTTAGTTTTTGTTCTCAAATCCCTCAATGGCATCTTTATTATAACAAAACTAGGGTTATATTCCTTCGTTATATATGGGGGTGGTCGGGTAGCCTAGTGGTTAAAGCGTCGGCTCGTCACGCCGAAGATCCGGGTTCGATTCCCGACATGGGTACAATATGTGAAGCCCATTTCTGGTGTCCCCTGCCGTGGTATTGTTGGAGTATTGCTAAAAGCGGAGTAAAACCATACTCACTCACTCCTTTGTTATATCAGGTGATGCAAGGCGTGTACCTGTGTCCAACTGGCAGTCGTTTTCCTGCAGTACCATACTCTCTGCCTGGAGCTTGGTCTTGGCATAACCCTCGTGGAAATACGTCTTGGGAGGCTTCATGTTGTCCTCGGTGCCATCGACAATGTCGTCGAACCCCAGCACAACCTCAACAGTGCTGCAGTAGATGAGGCATTCCACCCCCTCCTTGATGCAGGCGTCTATCACCTGTCGAGTTCCTGTAAAACATAGAAGTGTCAAACCCCATTCTTGTACAACAAAGATATGTCACACATTGTTCCTGTACAACATATGTATGTCACACATTGTTCCTGTACAACATACATGTATATGTCAAACATAATTCATGTACAACATATATGTCACATATTATTCCGTTACAATATAGATACATATATGTCGAGCACTGTGCCTGTACAACATAAATATGTCACACATTGTTTCTGTACAACAAAGATATGTAACATATGAAATGTCGCAGTACAGGCGTCCAGAACAAATAATGAAATTGTTGTCTCTTGCTACAAGCATAACACTCTCCCTACATATGTTTATATATTTGAATGAAAACATTAATTCCGTCAGTAATCATACGGTGACACGGTCTCAGTACGCAATTGTATTGCAACCGCCATATTAAACCCACTCCCTACGTCATACATGTCTTATTGTTTTCGCAATACTCGAACATTTCTTGTCTTGTCAAAATTCTATCTCCATAATTATGACCACGTCACGGATTCTTTGTCAAGACAAGAAGTGTACGGGGTAACTCGAACAAATCGTACATTAAATACATATAAAGAGGTAGGACTCCAGATTCCTGTGGTTTCACATTGTTGCTGTACAACATATATGTCACACACTGTAATTTATGTATCCGTTTGCGAGACGTGTCTGTTGTCTCACCTTTCACGTTTATTCTTTCCATAGCCTGGTTGTCAGGGAAACTGCCCACACTGACGAGACTGGCCAGATGGAAGACTGACTTAGCTCCCCTGAACGCCCGGCGAAGTAGGTCTGTGTTAGTGACGTCACCGCACATAGAAATCACAGGTTTTGCTTCTTTATGGCCTGTCCATGATATAATAATAAAAATAATCATGTTGATATTGATAATCAAATTGATGATGATAATTTTATTATGACTGAGCGTTTTGTTGTAATTATAATAGAATTGGAATATAGTAGAAGGTTGAAACATCCGGAGATATTCTCGGGCTGAAGACTGGCGTGTCTATATTTGAACATCCCGGTAATAAGCACGTGCGTTCCGGAAACTCTCCTCCACAGAGAAAAGGGGAGTGTAGTTGAGCAAGGTGCGCGCTTTGACGTTGCTCAGTTTGATGGTGGTGTTGGCGAAGCGTAGGGCGCTGGAGGAGACGCCGATGTCGATTTTGATAACGGGGGACAGGAGAAACAGAAGACACTCTGCCAAGTACAATAGCACGAACATCATCCAGAAAGGGAACCTGATGGAGGATGGCCGTATACCCTTCTCCGCCAGAAAGGGGATCACCTGGCTGTATATGTCGCTAACTGGGGTGTCGTCCGTGATGAAGTAAGCCTCACCAGCAGCAGCAGGGTTAGTACGGACAGCCTTCTCGGCGCAGATGAAGGCCCAGGCGTTGTTTCCCACGTAGGCGTGCTGATGGAGTGCCTTGCCGTTACCTGTCTGGATGAGGATGCCCGCAGTCCTCTTCACCACCTTCATGAGCTGCGTGACGTAGTGGCGGTCCAGTTCGCCGTAGAAGACGTAGGGTCGAAGGGCGGCGGTCTTGAGTACGCCACCTACATCGACGGAAAGCAACTCATAGAAACTCATCGGTGCAGTGAAACACCATAAATTTAAACAATATCGTTTCCAGTCCAAACGTCAGGTTAAAAACACATTTCTGGATTAACGAGTGAGGACGGAGTTTGGATTTACGCCGCTTATGGTATTATTCCAGCAGTATCACGGCGGGGGACACCAGAAATGGGCTTCACACATAATACCCATGTGGAAAATTGAAACTGGGTTTTCGGCGTGACGAGCGAACGCTTTAACCACAAGGCTACCCAACCTCCCCTCTGGATGAACGGACCTTACGTTTTAGTATTGCATTAGTAGACTGGTGGTGGGATCAGTGAAAAGAGCTTAATGTGTGCATTTACATTGTTCCGAAGATAGGCCTGTAAAGTGTCCCCCAAAAGAAAAGAAAATAATTTAGTTTTTGTTCTCAAATCCCTCAATGGCATCTTTATTATAACAAAACTAGGGTTATATTCCTTCGTTATATATGGGGGCGGTCGGGTAGCCTAGTGGTTAAAGCGTCGGCTCGTCACGCCGAAGATCCGGGTTCGATTCCCGACATGGGTACAATATGTGAAGCCCATTTCTGGTGTCCCCTGCCGTGGTATTGTTGGAGTATTGCTAAAAGCGGAGTAAAACCATACTCACTCACTCCTTTGTTATATCAGGTGATGCAAGGCGTGTACCTGTGTCCAACTGGCAGTCGTTTTCCTGCAGTACCATACTCTCTGCCTGGAGCTTGGTCTTGGCATAACCCTCGTGGAAATACGTCTTGGGAGGCTTCATGTTGTCCTCGGTGCCATCGACAATGTCGTCGAACCCCAGCACAACCTCAACAGTGCTGCAGTAGATGAGGCATTCCACCCCCTCCTTGATGCAGGCGTCTATCACCTGTCGAGTTCCTGTAAAACATAGAAGTGTCAAACCCCATTCTTGTACAACAAAGATATGTCACACATTGTTCCTGTACAACATATGTATGTCACACATTGTTCCTGTACAACATACATGTATATGTCAAACATAATTCATGTACAACATATATGTCACATATTATTCCGTTACAATATAGATACATATATGTCGAGCACTGTGCCTGTACAACATAAATATGTCACACATTGTTTCTGTACAACAAAGATATGTAACATATGAAATGTCGCAGTACAGGCGTCCAGAACAAATAATGAAATTGTTGTCTCTTGCTACAAGCATAACACTCTCCATACATATGTTTATATATTTGAATGAAAACATTAATTCCGTCAGTAATCATACGGTGACACGGTCTCAGTACGCAATTGTATTGCAACCGCCATATTAAACCCACTCCCTACGTCATACATGTCTTATTGTTTTCGCAATACTCGAACATTTCTTGTCTTGTCAAAATTCTATCTCCATAATTATGACCACGTCACGGATTCTTTGTCAAGACAAGAAGTGTACGGGGTAACTCGAACAAATCGTACATTAAATACATATAAAGAGGTAGGACTCCAGATTCCTGTGGTTTCACATTGTTGCTGTACAACATATATGTCACACACTGTAATTTATGTATCCGTTTGCGAGACGTGTCTGTTGTCTCACCTTTCACGTTTATTCTTTCCATAGCCTGGTTGTCAGGGAAACTGCCCACACTGACGAGACTGGCCAGATGGAAGACTGACTTAGCTCCCCTGAACGCCCGGCGAAGTAGGTCTGTGTTAGTGACGTCACCGCACATAGAAATCACAGGTTTTGCTTCTTTATGGCCTGTCCATGATATAATAATAAAAATAATCATGTTGATATTGATAATCAAATTGATGATGATAATTGTATTATGACTGAGCGGTTTGTTGTAATTATAATTGAATTGGAATATAATATCTCGATAACCGAGGATGGCTCAGTTGGCATTAACACCTTCTAACGCTTCTTCTTCTTGCGCTTCTCCTTCATATGCTTCTAGTGCTTTCTATGCTCCTAATATTTTTTCTATTTCAAATGCTTAGTCTTATGCTTCTTTTTATGGTTCTGCTTCAAATGTTTCTCCACCCTATGATTCATCTCCTTGTGCTTCTAATCTTTCTTCTTCTTATGCTTTGTCTTCTTCAAATGCTTCTTATGATTTTCTTCTTCTTCTACTTCTTTTGCTCCTTCTGACGCTTTTCTTCTCATGTTTTTTTCTGTGTTTCGTCTTCTAATGCTTTTTTCCTTCTTCATTTCCTTCTTCTAAGGCTTCTTTTTATGCTTCTGATGCTGCTAATGCTTCAAGTGTGATGCTTAAAAAAATCCTCTTCAAATGTTTCTTCTGCTCATTCTTCATCTTCCTGTGTTTCTAATGCGTCTTCTGCATTGTCATTTTATTTTTAAGGCTTTTAAGGCCTCTAATGCTTCTTCAAATGCTTCTTTTTCTTCTTACCCCTCTCCTTCCTCTCCTTCTCCTGTTTCTTGTTTTTATACCTCTTGTTCTTTTACGCTTCTGTTTATGCTTTTAAATCTTATGCTTTTTTATGATGCTTCAATTAATGCCTATTTTACTGATTGTTAATGTTTCTTCGAATGCTTCTTCTTCTATTGCTTCGTCGTCTTCTTCTTCTGCATCTTCTTCTCCTAATGCTACAAATGATTTTAATGATGTTGACGACGATAATGATGATACATATATGCAACAGCCAAAGAAAACTAACTACGTGTCTCTGTGATAACATCGGAGTTAATTTTCAACAGCACATAAACTTATCTGATGCCAACAAAATGAACATTGAAATGTAGGATAAAACATGCTCATAAGATTCCCATAATTGAATAAGCTATTCGGCTATTCAAGGTTGTAAATGGTTACCCTAATTAAAATGAGACAATGTCCCACTTTCTCAAAGGTCACAACGTCACAACATTTAGATATGACCGGATATGCTCTGCCAACAGTAGTGCATTATCCTTCGTGAGGGCGGCATCCACGAAGTCAAAAATTATCAATTTCTTGCGTCCACAACATGTTAAATATAAGTGGTCATTACGCTGCCAGATATTCTTTGATACAAAAATTGATGGATTTGCTTTCTTATTGTACCCTTCATAACTCACCAAGTTTGTTCTCGTACGGAATGGCGTCAAGAACCCGGATCTCAGTCACGTGATCAGCGTTCGTTTGGAGAAGTTTGATGAGGTGTTGCCCCAAGCAACCAGATCCTCCCGTCACAACCACGGGGTACTCGCGCGTCATCGTGGAGAGGTCAGTGGAGATGAAGACACGAACCCTAAATCAAATAAAATACATTGTATAACAGGATTTGGGAAGGGAGAGATTGGGTCGCTTTCCATTGAATGATTTAAGGTTGTAACACATATTTGATATAGGGTATCAAGGAAGAGAATATATGAATGTCAACTTCTTTATTATGAGGAACACAACGTTTCGGAGTATATACTTCCATATATTCACTTCCTTAGGTGTATCACTTCTAAAAGGCTTTCAAAGACCTAAAAGGTATCAAATTATTATTTCATTGCTTTGATGGTTTGCTAATTATAGGCAAGCTTCATCCTGAAGAGAAAAGATGAGGTGAGGTGAAGTGAGATGAAAATGAAATGTGGTATTACGTCGCGCTAAGATTATTTCACTCACAGCAACGTGCATGCACGTGTGTGTGTGTGTGTGTGTGTGTGTGCGCGCGCGCATGTGTGTGTGTGTGTGTGTGTGTGTGTGTGTGTGTGTGTGTGTGTGTGTGTGTGTGTGTGTGTGTGTTAGTGTGTGTGTTGGTGTTAGTGTGTGTGTGTGTTAGTGTGTGTGTGTGTGTGTGTGTGTGTGTGTGTGTGTGTGTGTGTGTGTGTGTGTGTTGGTGTGTGTGTGTTGGTGTGTGTGTGTGTGCGTGCCTGCGTGCGTGCGTGGGAGGGCTGGGGTCGTAGGGTGCTGCTTGTACGGTGCGCTAGCCTACTGAGACTGACACACATTGTAACGACTTCGGGTTAGTAAAAAAAAGATGTGTAACATTATATGCATCACCCATAAAGGAACAGACCATATAATAGGTTTCTCGGTAGGATAAAAATACTTTATCCGTTGGTCTTTTTTACGGTTAAAGATGCATGATGTATAAATAAGGCCAGGTAGGTAGTTCCAGTGTTCACAAACAGACATGGCGTCGCCCTTGTCTATCAATGAATAATATTGGTACGTCAAACCTGTGTTTGATATCACTAACAAATAGTATTAAGTACTGAAAACCGGTGACGAAAACAATACATAGAGGATTCATCACGAGTGTTTTTTAATTTGGGAAATATCAACCGAGTCTTAGTTAATCGGTATTTGCCGAGCCTTTGGCGAGGCAAATACCGATTAACGGGACGAGGTTATGGATAAAGGTTATGTCACGATAAGGTTATGGGACGAGGTTATGTCATGGATAAATGCTTAAGTTAAATGATAAATATACATTGCCTTTTGATACTGTCCGACTGACTGTACAATGACCTTGTTTCTTAATATATTAATGGGCACAAGGAAAACTAGCATTGTTTAGGTACCGTTTGTGAGAGAATACGTTATCTGAAGATAGAATTTAAGTGAATGAGAGAGTATGGTTTTAAGCCTATAATCATATCATCTCCATACCACCCATCTGTCTCATTGATCTTTCGGTTAATGAGAACCTAAACGTTGTGTGTTTTCAGATCTGCGGTTGTTATTGAGTATTCGATACTGGGAAATTTTAACACTCGCCGGATGTTCCCCAAAGGTTTCTGGCGCCCAATCACATTCAACAACAGGTATCAGTCAGTCAAACTGTAGCACACACTCCCATTTATTTTACAACTAACATTATCTTCTTTGTGAACTTCGCATCAACAACCCCGTGAAAATCCGGGTTATAATTGGTCTTCGTCAACCCATGCTTGTCCTAAGAAGCGACAAACGAGATCGAGTGGTCAGATTTGCTTACTTGGGTGATGCATGTCATCGTATCCAACTTGCCAAGATCGATGCTCGTAATGTCAGTCACTGGATTGTCTGGTCCAGAACCGATTATTTACGGACCACCGCCACATCGCTGAAATATTACTAAATGCGGCGTTAAACAAGAACAAAGTCATCAAAAAGAAATCGGAAAACCCTTAAAGTCAATTGGAACCGACGGCGTTTTAGAATGCGATGTCATCACACAATGAATGATGTCACATGCTTTCCATGATAACTCAACTCGCCTGGTTAGCTGAATGTGAAAACAAACAACAATATCGAATTTGTTCCGATAAATATTGATTAAACTAAATATTTATTGAACGTGATGGCCATTTCGCCGAGCCGAATGACCCGTTTTACAAACATGGGATTCAAAAAAGTATCACACCCAGTGAAAAGTACGAAAGATTTCAGGACGATGTTTTTCAGTTACATCACAGTGTGTCAGCTTATTGTGTAGGAACCCCCAAAGAAGCGCTTTTTGGTTAAACGCACAAGCACAGGTGTCATAAAAGACCAAGGAAGGCAATCTGGATGATTTTTGGGTTGGATTAGACCAAGGGGCTACTTTATGCCGAAATTTACTTCCATACAAAGCTGAAACGTGTTGAATGACTAATATACTGTTCAAAAGGGCGTTTAACTTAACTTACTCACTACCTTATCGGTGTATGCTGGTCAACTGGATCCCTTCTGTTTCCAGATTGCGCTGCTTTGTATTCACGCTGTGACTTATCACAACCTTTCTGCTGCCGAACTACCTCTGGTCTATGCTGTGTCTACCCCAGTCAGCAACGTACCATGGTCCGTAATTCTTCTATCTCTGTCCCGTCTGCACTTTGCATCCAGACGCTCATTGGCAGCTGCAGTTGACATTGATGTCTTCACCTCTGCCCCACGCGTGCCGTATCTACCTTGGTGACGTTGAGTACAAGTGTACTTTCACACCCTCATGTATCCTCCCAATGCATGCAAGCCATGTTAATATCTACCTGACAGACACGGATGTTTCTCAGTTCTCAAGTGAACACTTTCAATTTTATGAGAATAGTGAGTGAGTTGGGTTTATCGCCGCTTTTAACAGTATTCAAGTCATATCGCGGCGTGTCAGCTAAGTGTGGGCGGAAAGCCCGAAGTGATGCAGGTCTCAGACGTTTACCACTTCGGTGAAACCCACGAGCACGGGTATGGTGCTGACAAACCTAGAAACATAATCGGGGCGAATCGGGATTCGAACCCACAAGCTTAGGTTTCTGGCGTGCCCAAGGGACGCAACTCTGCACAGCGAATCGCGGCGCCTTAGACGACTGGGCCACCCGTATAACATGCAAATAATGTCTCAAATTACCTTAAACAAACATAGGAACCAAATACAACTAAAACGAAACTAATTTTCATATTTTTTGTTTGCATTCGTGAAACACGAGAGAAATGATTATGTCGAATTTTGTATATGTTTTTGATGCTTCTCAACGATTGGTGCAATATAGACTGGAGCAGTAACCATTGTATTAGAATAACGTATATATACTGACTCACCTTTAACAAGAAAAGAGACAAACTATAACAAAACACAATTTAACAATGCTATCAACTAGTTTCCATAGGCATGTACGCATTTGGAACACACCAAGAAAGACAAAATAATATCTCGGATTTCTTTTTATTGTCTCGCTGATTCCAGTCTAGGTTTAACGCAACGGGGGATAATATTTCAGTTATTACACAGCTGGTCAGCTGTATGTATGAGTTAAGCCTAAAGTGGCGCAGATCGCATAAGTATACTTCTTTAAGATCCGGGGTAGAAGAGGTCTTCAGCAACCCATGCTTGCCATAAAAGGCGACTATGCTTGTCGTAAGGGGCGACTAACGGGATCGGATGGTCAGGCTCGCTGACTTGGTTGATGCATGTCATCGAATCCTAATTGCGTGGATCGATGCTCATGATGTTAGTCACTGGATTGTCTGGTCCAGACCGCCATCGTATAGCTGGAATATTCCTGAGTGTGGTGTTAAACCACATACAAACAAAACAAAGAAACAAATAATTGTAAAACGATCACGGGTATGGTGCTGACAAACCAAGGGTCATATTCCGTCGATCAGCAACTGGGCCAACCGTGGCCATCTAAATTCACCGATGTCTGTTTCAATATGGGGTACTGGCTTCTATTTCGGCCCGTTTTAATACGGGATACTGGCTTCTATTCCGTCATGGATTCTTATGTGTATTATGACACCATGGCAACCGTCCATTGATCCAAACTATTCACGGAGAAGTAAGAGTGGATGGCATTTATCTCTAAAACGTGACAAATCACAACACAATTCCTTTTCATTGGCAACTATTGCATATGTGTATCAACTAGAGTATTTATTACTCATCCGTTTAGTAATGATCCGGATAAAACAGTGTTTAATAACATCGTGTGCGGGCCGGACTATGTTTGCTGAATTGTTGACATTACTTCACTTGAATGTATCATGTCCCTGTGTTTTGGCTGAAGCCTTTGATCTATCGCAGGACTGTCGAACACTTACACTGGATATGGAAAGAGTATTCGGTCACCTATTTATATATTGTCGTAATGAGTGAGTGAGTATGGTGTTTCGCATCGCCAGTAAATAAAGCACTATACTGAAGCAGCATCACAACGCTCATCATCTTCTTACGACCTTGAACTTCGTGTTGGAAATGAGAGTAACTCCCCTTGAACCACGTGGACAGTCGTTGGAAATGTCATTCGCGTGTCAACCAATACAACCCGTGTCATGTTTTGTTGGCGCTTCAGTTGGTGTTCCTTACCTGTAATTACAATCAATTTCATAACATGTGAACTTCTGCGTCGTATGAAATAACATCTTGAACATCTCTAGGGACTCCGCGCCCTGGTCGCATCTTCAGAAACAGTACATAGTGAGTGAGTGAGTGAGTTGGGTTAAAAGCCGCTTTTAAAAGTATTCCAGTTAAATCACGGCGTGTCAGCTTAATGTGGGAGGAAAGCCCGAAGTGATTCAGGTCTTAGACGTTTACCACTTCGGTGAAACCAACGAGCACGGGTATGGTGCTGACAAACCTAGAAACATAATCGGGGCGAACCGGGATTCGCACCCACAATCATAGGTTTCTGGCGTGCCCAAGGGACGCAACTCTGCACAGCGAATCGCGGCGCCTTAGACGACTGGGCCAGCCGTGCCCCGAAACAGTATTTGGACGCATTACCATCTACAAATGTTGCAAAATTTATACCAGCGACGTACAATGTTAACTTTAGATCATGTGCAAAGTTTATGTGAGTAATCAATAAAGTACTACACTCGTTTCCATTAGATACTGTTATTATTACAAATTTCGCTTGTTAGGTACGTTTTGAAATTTGTTCGTTGTAACAAAAGGGATATCTAACGGGAACTCGTTTAGTAGTCAATGTTTATTACTAATAAAACGTCAGTGAGATCGACACTCAATAGAATGACCAGTGATCTCATTTGAACTTTAACGATAACAGTAACAACTGGAACATATTACTTGAATAAAAACTCACTCACTCACTCACTCACTCACTCACTCACTCACTCACTAAAATGGTTGTATTCTGCTGTGTAGACAAGCGCCCCTCAGCGATGTTAGAATCAGCCGATTTCCTGTGGTCGCTTATTTTCACTTACGACCTCAAAATATGGGGTTTAAAAAAAACTTCATAAAAATACATATATTTTAAGAAATAGTAAAAAACACGGGGATTGTGACAAAGAAGTAAACACTTTCCTTGCCGAGGCAAGGGAGTTATCTGACTATAAAAGTACAGTTTCCACCCTTGCCGAACTAGGCTCTGGGCTCGATCGTAGCGCCACCGGTGACTACTACGAGTTATGTCCCTACTATGTCCCTCGTATTGACCAAACAGATTCCACCTCCCATATCACTTGCATTTGCTTCAAACAAAATGGCGGTGCCCAGTGAAGACGATCTGATCGATAATCAAGATCTATAGTGTAATAAAACGGGTCTTACTTCGCGAAGTGCATCAAATCACTAAGCACTTTAATTAAATATATGAAAAGATTTGGAAACTATCTGTTGACGCTAAGTGGACGGTACACATGCTTTGTTAATCCTGCATTCGACCGAAATTAAATAAAAGTAGTTTACTGTATATTTAAGTTCATTGATGGACAGTGGAATGACCAGCTTGAAAGGCTGCATTATATCTGTACAATACGGTGCTGATTAAAATAGTTTGACACGTGTTTAAAAAACCCCATTTCAAACAGTTTACCAATGCAACAAATAAGATATATGGGTTTATAATATGACACTTCAGTTTTCTCGCTTTTCAAAGAAACGGCAGAGCATAAGCTATTTTCCATTCAGTTGAATAAAAACCTTTTTGCGGTGACAGACATTACAAATTAAACAATTTAACACTTAAATGATTGTATGTTCTGGGTTTTTTATCCTATCAGGGCAAATGGTTTTATTAGGGGACAAACACTGAATGATGTCAGCTATTTCATTTTTTGTAACTACTTTATTTTCTGAAGTAGAATTTGTGCCCTAAAATTAGGTAAAGGCATATTTTCGTCAGTTATACATAAAATAGAAACAAAATTACCATTCATTAGCTCTGCTGCATCTATATCCGGAAAAATAGACAGTTCATTTGGATTCTGCCTTGGAGCTGAAATGGAAGTTTGCGTAAAAAAGTTCTTTGGTGTGTTATTAATGGTGTTTCTTTCACAGCCGAATATCTCTTTCATACCCCTTTTAGGCTTTTTTAAAATTTTGTTTCATTTTCAAACAAAATTGCGGTGCCCAGTGAAGACGATCTGATCGATATTCAAGATCTATAGTGTAATAAAACGGGTCTTACTTCGCGAAGTGCATCAAGTCACAAAGCACTTTAATTAAATATATGAAAAGATTTGGAAAATATCTGTTGACGCTAAGTGGACGGTACATATGCTTTGTTAATCCTGCATTCGACCGAAATCTGCACGGCAGTTTACGAACCCGATGTCGATTGGACCATGCATAGACTGGTTAGTCCAGCAACAATATAACACCATGATTCCATTCCAGTTCGGCAAGGGTGGAAACTGGACTTTTATAGTCAATTAACTCCCTTGCCTCAGGAAGATGCACTTATCTATGTTTAAACACAACTTTAAATATGTTTTGACTATCATTCTGAGAAGGACTGATCCCGAACTACCCGTTACCATGATTCTCATCCGACATTGTTGCCCTTACACATTTTTATTATTTGGTCCGGA